ATTGTAATGTTTTCATGGTTAGAGTTTTTCCCATGTCATTTTTATTAACTATTTTACGCATTAACCAGATGAACTAAAAATTCATAGGTACTTTATCGAGAGATTGCCAAGTTAGGAGATAAAACAAGCAAAAACTAATGGGAATTTTGGTTTGCATATTGAAACAAATTTCTTAGAAAAGATGCTTAAAGAGAAGGAAATTGATATAATATCCAGAATGCCTGGAAAAGCTTCAAATTAAAAAGATGCACAAATATTTTGCTGAGTACTGTTGCTACAAAACGTAAATGTTTTGTAGCTTTTAATGTGTAGTTATCTTAATATTGTTTAAGAACCAATGTCATAAATAACATGTATTTTAAACAGTGACATGTTAATCAATTGTGATTTTTAATAGTGCCTTTTTAACAAATATTTTAAAAAACAAATTTAATAGTAACCATATAAATCTAAAATGACTAAGTAAGCTTATCTAACTAGCTAATTCAATTATTTGTAACATAACTGGTCACCCTTAAAAGTTATCTACATATTGTTGCCTTTCATTAATTTTTACCGTAGTCACAAGATACAGCACAAAAATGTAAAAATTTAATCGTGAAACTTAATTCTTTGCATCTAGTGAGACTTAAATTAATACAAAACAGCTTATCACCTCTGGTGCTTTAGTGGCTTATTGGAACTTAAAGTATATCAAGCCCTTGGCCTACATGATATCTGCCAATTGTGCGAGCTATAGTAAACAAGAAAGTCGGTCGCGTGCCGTGCCATTCAACTCCGTTCAGCCATGTACACGAACTGGAGCAAAATGTATACTTTTTCATGTCATATATATTTCAGTGTAATGAAAGGAATTGTGAAATAATGAACAATGTTTAGGTACAAAAGTAATTTTAAGATGTCTAGGGTGTAATCGTAATCAATTGATCAGTTGACAAAAGTAATTGCATGGTGGTTATGATGGGTATAAGAGTTTGGCATGATGGATTAAGGGATTTTTAATTCTTTATAAGAAATTATATTTGAAATGTGTGAACGTAACGAAGCTTTATGGGGAGCTAAAGTAAAAGATCGTAAAGTTTCGTCAGAAACAACTGAAAAAAGCAAAATATTGACGTTACAATCAAAGGGAAAATATTCGATGTAGAATAATTCCAATCGCTTGTTCTAATGATAATACGCGGCATTTTATGCGCAAATTCTTCATCATGAGTCAGACTCATGGCTTTTGTTTATGACACAAATTCTTTACCACAAGTCAGACTCGTGGTTATAGGCTCCCCAAGAACTCGAAGTTATGACACACAGTGTCAGACAAGCCAGAGCACAACTAACTTTAAAACTTCCCAAGCGGTGCCTACATAATTTCAGGTTTGTTCTGGTGGCAGGCCTCTCTCTAGACAAGCAGTAGTGGTGGGAACAGCCAATTTTCTGTAACCACTCATGCTGATTATGATTTTGCTTCTCATTTTAACCTGTGCCGTTTGATTTTAGATTCTTAAACCTCTGAAGTGAGCAAAAACAAACGACAAAACGAGACAAATAAGAAAAATATCAACATAAAGCTAAATTAGTAATATGTAAATAAAATGTCGCTAATCTTCTTTCAAATATGTTCAACTATTATAAGGGTAAAATATTTAATGCTGCCTGATAAATTTATAAAGTTTTTATTCACAAATTTGTGTTATAATTATATTTATCAAATTATGTTCAATAATAATGCATTCTACTTGTGGATCTATTTTATTCTTAGGGTGGTATCACATAAGTGAAGTTCAGGAATAGATAATATCTTTAATTGAATTTATTCAGTTTCCATTTTTTGATGGGTCCTTAATTTTTTTCATTAATGGTCCTTAAAAGTACTTAATTTCCATGTGCAGAAATGTGTACGAACCCTGTAGCTGAAAAACCGTGGGAATAGTGAAAAAAGAGAAGACTGGGTTAACTAACCTGAAACATAAGCTCAGAAGGAGTTGGACAATTGAGAAAATGTGAAATTAGACAAGAAAATAACACCAGGAATAAAATTTAAGGCAGTGGTTTTCTAACATTTCCAAGTCAAGGTGCCTTTTTTCAATTAAAATTTTTCCATGGCACCCTACCCTAAGTAAAAGTATGACTAACCATAAGAAAGAAATAAAAATAAACAAAACACCTGCATCTTCATTATTTTTTTAAACTTTATTAATAAACAGTGTGATTGATGAGCTGAAAAATGACTACCAATTTTTTCAAATCGTGGAATTAAACTGGACGCAGCCACCTTCATTTCCTTTTCCAAGTTGATTCCTCTGTACTTTCTTTTTATTACGGCTACTGCTAAAAACCCAGTTTTGCACACATATGACTTTGAAAATTGAATTAAAATCAACCAAGCCTTATTACTAGAAGGGTATTTTTTTATCTTTTATTGAAATCTAAAATCTATCAATTCTGTGCTGCCAAATTTTTATTACAGCTGTTATCATTCGATAACTCGATAAGATTTTCTTCTTCCACAGAAGTAAATTTGAACACTGGTGTTAAATGGATCTTGAATCCATGCAAACCTATAGAAATGTTCATTTTGAAAGTATTTCTCAAACAAAATAATTAGCTGTGATAAGTGCCTTTCAGAAATGGTTATATCAAGTTCATTTGATATCAGAAATCACGGCAATATTAAAAGCAATCTTTGGCTGCATCTTCATTCAATTTTCTTCTCTATAGTTTGAGTTTTTTTAAAAATAAAAACTGATATTTTTTCCATTGTCTTCAAAAAGTGCATGTTCTTCCCTTGTAGAGATTAAAGGAATTCAGCTTTTAAAAAAGTGTTGCATAAATATGGCAGTTTCATTTAAAAATCAGCATTGCAATATCTTCTGTATTTTTGTATCTTTCCTCTAAGAAAAGTAAAACATTCTTGCCACAATTTCAGAGGTATGTGATAAAAATATTGCTATTAGAAAGCTATCCTGCATTGTTACAGTATAACAAAGACGAATGTTTGGCTCCCATATCCTCACACAGTTTTTTTAAAAAACCTTGCTTTTAATGGACGAGATTTTATATAATTTACTGCATTTACCACACATTCTAATACCTTATTAAGTGCAGGATTCGAATGCTGCAACACAGTGCTTCTGTATGAATAATGCACTGGGTCTACTGTACATTTGATAGTTTGCTTTGAATAAGTCCTTGTAATCCTCTATAGCTGCCAGACATAGAGAATGAAATATAAATATAGTTAAACAAAGAGAACAGAATGAAAAAAATAATGGTGTTGCATTCAGATTTTTATTAAAACATGTTTAATATCATCTCCATCATTTGATGACCAAAAGGAAGGTGTCTTCTATTTTTGGCATTGGCAAAACTGCAAATTCCAGCAATCCTGACCTCATACTACTCTCGATAAGAGAAGCAATTAAAGCATTCATTCACTGACTAGAAGGAGAAGGAAACAATTGTTATGGAATCTGCTTCATCTCTGACATACCTATGTAACTTCAAAACCTCTGTGTAGTTGCTAAGATCATCATTATAAATGTTTCTGTCAAATTACAGCAACATTTTCATACAAATCCAGTAACGAAATTGTTATTTTTGCTGTTTATTTGACTGGTGTTTCTATGATGAGTGTAAATGATATGAAATCCGATTTACGACTGCAGGGAGAAAATGACCCCTGAAAATCGATACTCATAAATCCAAATCAAAAAACACGCTGAGTTAACTTTAGCAACAATATGAATCATGGTTTCTTTTTATGAAATGTGTCTTGGACAGGTCGTTCTAACCTTGTTCTCAGCATAGATTGTTATGAGGTTATAGCATGATCATATGAGAAGGTGCAGCATTGGTTGCTTACATTTGCAAGAATATTCTGGGCAGCTACTTTACTTTTATACAGGGTCAAGAAAATCTAGATTATTTTTACCTTCTCACTTCAGTTTTTGTTTAGTTGGGCCAAATGTCTTGCTTCAGTTAATTATGAAGCTTATAATATTTCATGGTGTCCCTGTGAAAAGGCCACAGTGCACATTTTGGGAAGCTTAGCAATGGTAAACATCTGAAAGTGGTATATTGAGATGCTTTCAGAGAGTATTTTGAGTGTCTGCTGTTTGTGTAGTCATTTAAATGATATTGTAAAAAATCAGTTGTGCAGATTCTTTTTTAGATTATATGCCCTTATTTATTTATACCTGTTAAAAACAATCCTTGCTTTCATATGACTCAGTCTTGTAGATGCAATTAAACAATGTTTTTAAATTTTGTTTTTTTGGAAACACTGGTGACAATGTGTGTATGGGGTGGCTGTAAGATTTTTAAAGAAAATAATTTTGCAGTGTTTAGATTTAATGTATATGTTACCGTGAAAGACCGAAATTGGAGATGTCGACTTTCATCGGAGAATGTCAACATTCACCAAAGACGTCGGTGAAAGACGAATTCATTACATCTTGTATTTCGGACCTCACCGGTGTAGTCGACAACCAGATATGCTCTAGTGTAGGTCGAAAAGAGAGGGAATTACACGCTGTCATTGCAAAAGAAAGTATTCCACAAAAAATACATTGTAAAAGCAAGTACCTCTTGTGCAGTTCAAAGTGTCATACTAGTTTATGTTATTGCAATAAATAAGATTTAAATCACATAATTTAGTGTAAGTTTTTAACTTCTGTTATTTTCCTTTTCTCATTTTGAATGTACTGTGTGTTTAAAGTTCTTATTTTAAGTCTCAAGTGTTTTTTTTTCGCAACTGGATTATGGAAAAGAAAATGTAATATTCTTATATGTTCACAATTAGCACATGGTGAATGTCGAAATTTACCGGTGTAAGTCAGAAATAAGATTATTTGGAAAATATTTCGGACATACACCAAGAGACTATGTGAATGTTGACATTCACCGGTGAAAGTCGACATTCTCCAGATTTTGGTGTTTCACCGAACATATACACTCAATTTGTGTATGCAGAAAAAAACTTATGTGCTGTTTTCTTTTATTAGAGAGCTATCTTGGAACACCGGTAAAAAATGCTGTAATAACTGTACCTGCTTATTTCAATGACTCACAGAGACAGGTATGTAGACCCGAGACATATTTTTATTGCTAGAGACTTTTTTTTATATAGCAGTTCCTTTTGTACTGCTATAATATTCAAAATTTTAGCATTTATAACCAAAGTATTCCTTTAAAATTTAAAATTTCTGATTTAATCTTTGAATAAATTTACACTTTAAGAAAGAATGAGATTGAGATGTACTGAATTGGGATGTCTGGGTCAACTGTTTTCTTAACTGCAGTATCCAGTTTTTGATATATAAAATATTAGCAACATTTTTAAACATTGGTTATAATTAATATTGCGTAAATTTTTCTTTTATCTAAATTGGATATCCCAATAGTTTTAAGTAATGAAATTCTAGGTGAATAGGAAGATTGCATTAGTTGTGAAAATCAGCTGATGTCAAATGTTTGCTTAATAAATTACAATACATGTATTATATTTCTAATAGAGGTTATATATATTCTACCCATTCCCTCCTAACATTTGACTTTATTTTATTCTAACCAATTATTTTTAGTTTTATTTTCCCCTCCTGATTTCAGTTTCCTGCCGGAATGTAAATTTTTAATGTTGTTGTATGCAAATCTAAACGTGTTTCAGAAGCAGTATATAAGCTCCATTTAAAGAGTTCAAAAATAGTAATAGCAGAGTTAGTTTTGAGTTTATGCTGCGTGTTTGAAATTAGCTTTCTAGTCGGTGTTGGACACTTTTCAGTTTATACTGATATTTCTAGACTTTGCTGTGTGCAACCGATTTAGTGGTTTAGTTAAGTTAAGAAGCAGGTTGTTAGCCATTTTAATTTCTTGTGATTCGTTGCATTTTTTATTTTCTGTTAAATTTAAGATAGCCACAAGTGATGAATTGTGAGAATTTTTGGTTGCATTGTAATATTTAGCTATAACTTTTGTTCTTTATGTCTATTTTTCTGGCTGTAAATTAATTATATTAATTTTGTTTTGGCATTTTGCATCAATTCACTATAAACTGTGAATCACTTTTCAGATTGTTGCCATCAAATATTATCGCCCTGTGTTATATTTAAAGATATTAAATAATGAAGAATCTGCCTAAATGCATGTAAATTTCTCAGATTGTGCTAAAACAACGGTACCTTTTTGCCTTCAAATTTTAAATAATGTAATAATCCACCAAATATGAGCTTCTTTAAGCCATAATTTGGAATTTGTTTTATTATTTTGTTTCAATTTCATATTTTGTAACATTTTAATGAATTCTTTCAAAGTGAGCAAAGGCGACACTGTATACCGGGGGGGGGTATCCAGCAATACTATATTGGAAATTCTAAAGATATGCTCATTTTAAAATTATCCGGTGATATTGTTGAATTGAATTTTATGATTTAAGTGCAAAAAACATGATATCTAATAAATAAAGGTAAAACACAAAATGTTTAAAAAACTCATCTTTGGGCGTAACAAAATCTGAAAGCCTTCGGTCGGTGCAATTCATCTGCAAGATACTTTTCTGTACTTCAGTAAAAGCTAACCATGCCAGCTGAAGAGTTAATGCCAGTGTAATATCTTGAGTACTTTTACTTAATATTGTGATAGAAATTTTCCCTCCTAATTTTTATAGGCAACAAAAGATGCTGGACAGATAGCTGGTTTAAATGTTTTGCGTGTAATAAATGAGCCTACTGCTGCTGCTTTAGCTTATGGTATTGACAAGACAGATAAAATGTGAGTAGCAATTTTGTTCAGATTTAAAAAAAAATAATTGGATATATTTTAATTATGATCTTATGTGTCTTGTATTTTTCCATGAGATTGTTAAATAATTACCGTTCTCCTAAACTGTCTTCATAAAATTCAGTGCATTATGATTAGTTTTCTGTAGCTTATGATCATTTTTCAAGCTTTGCTTTTGTTATTTAAATTTATTATCTATGTTTCTTAAATGTTGCTGTTCCACTCAGACCCGTATCTGTCATGGCAAAAAATTTTAATTTACAAATTAACACAACATATTGCTGTTTGTTAAACAGTGTACATTTTATAATTTGTATTATCATGGAGCTTTATCTGTCCTTCTCCAGGTTTTGTATGATCCTTAAAAATACTTAAAAGTCCTTAGGGTTTTGGGAGACAATTTTTTTATCTTTAATTTCAGCCATAAACCTCCTTTTGGTCCTCAAAAGCTCCTTAGGTCATCTGACGTTTCTTTGTTTTTTACGACTGCCGTTTTGAGTGTGAATTAACATTTTGGAGGAATATTTTTTGTGATTCATTGATAAATATGTATTTGATGGGTGAACATTTAAATTCTTTCCTACTTCTGAATGTAAATATACTCGAGCTTTAGAAGCACTAGCCCCTGCTTTGATTAAACATTTCGAAGTAATATGTTTTTTGCGAATGAAGAGTTAAAAAAATATGTGCATCAAAAACAACTTTTTCTTTTTTGGCATATGTGTTCTTTTATTATGTGGTGCAAAGTTGGGTGACATTTTGGCAATTTCAAAATCAGTTTGTATACAAACATTTTTATTCCAAAATTAGTAAACTTTTAATTCTTTTTTTTACAAACATTGATAAATATTGTAAAAATTATGATAATAAATTAAAAAAGAAATAACATTAAAATAAAACATTTTTATTTGCTCTTGCCCTATTTTAAAGTGGTTATTTATTATTTTTTATTTTTGTGACTTCAAAATATTTTAATTTTGAAAGATAAAGAAAATGCTATAAAGAGGCACTGTTTAGAATAAAACAAAAAAGCTACTGAAATTTGTCCATTTGTCTACCATTTGTCCTTTTTCGTGTTTTTTTGTGATAAGAGTTTTTTCCCCGTGTAATTATTTGAGAATATTTAAATGTAAATCAATATTTAACTGCATTTAATTATTTGTAACTAACTGCTTACCCATTAAAGTTACCTTTACATGTTACAGTGAGTTATTGTCTTTTCTTAATTCTTATTGTGGATGTAAGATACAACTCAAAATTGTAAAAATTAACATAAAATTTTATTCTTTACAATTAATGGGACTTAAAATAATACAGAACTACTTATCACCTCAAGCAATGTCAAGCGCTCACATCTGTTCTGATCAGTGGCTCTCTGTGTCTAAGCAAGAAGCCAGAGTGAACCGCCAAGCTTTTTTTATAATCATGCTGATTATAATTTTACTTCTCATTTTAACTTATACTAGGCATAAAATCTGCGTAAACCTCTGGACTAAGCAAGTATATGATGAAATGAGGTATAAATTAAAGAATCAGTATAAAGCTGTTAGGCCTATATCACACATGCATTTGTTTCACACGAACAACTGTTTCAGACAATTTTTCTCCCTGGTTTACTACCGAAAGAAAGACGCATGATTTTTTTCCCCTTCCTTTTGAAAAAAAATTGCAAGTTGTCTATTTTCAACAATCAGCTATCAGCTTGTATGAAATGGAGAACCAGTTTCTCCTGTGTTAACCCCAGAGTGATCTGTGGTGATTGGCTGTTGCGACAAAGCAGAAAAATTGTTCCAAACAGTTGTTCTTCCAAGACAAACTCATGCATGATAGCAGCCTTAGTTAAAATTAAAATAAAAAGTGACTTATCTTCTTTAAAATATGTAGGACTGTTTGTTATAAGTGTAAAATGTAAATGTTTCAAGAAATTTTAAAATTTAATGCTAATTAATTTTTTCAATTATGAAGTAGATTTTATTTTAGATTTTGTTTTATGATTAAGTTAAGTATTAGATTAGGTTTAATAATAATGCATTCTACTTGTCAATTTATTTTATTCTTACAAATACAAAGTTAAGTTTGGGTGTAAATAATTGCTTTAGCTTATTCAACTCCAATTTGCTGATGCTGATAGGCCTTTAATTTTTTTTCATTCAGAGGTGTTTGTGCTCTGGGGAAACCCCGGAATTCCGGGGATTTTGAACTTTGATACCAGGAAATTCCGG